GTCCATCATAAGTGCGCGATGTCAAGGCAAAACTGGAAAAGGCGTCATAGCCAATAAAATGGATGCAAGTGATATAAAGGGTCATCTTCTAGGACTCCGAGTCGCTCCCTGGGCCGTCCAACAATTTTATGCCATTGCCAGTAAATAAACTCTCAACACCACTGACGCCCCCATCTTCTCCGACCCAACTCCTATCATTGCTAAAGCAGGCGGCAGCGCCCGATCATACACCATGGTCCACGGAGACACTCGTGCCCGCACAGGGCTCACCACCTTCCTGCTTGCGAGCAGCGCGCTAGTATGGGTTTCGGCCGTGATCGTGATGGGTATCCTCGCCTACCTCGTCTCGCGCGGATGGGGCGGAGACCACATCATTTATGAACTTGTGATTGTACGTCGTGGGATACTAAGTTCTACATTTCATAGCCTGTGAGGAATGGGCGAACAGTGACTAACCCCGACATTTAACAGTCTGTCCTCACGACGGCGTTCTTCCCCTTGGCTTTCTTCCTCGTTATCTCGCCAGGCTTCATTCTCCTGTTCAACTTGATCTTCTCGTACCTCTGGATCGTCGCCGTCTCCTTCACCGCTTCCGACTGGAGCAATAGTCACTCCGACCTGCTGCTCGCGGTTGAGGCCTTCAGTTTCATTGCATTGTGAGTGTCACTCTTGCCATCGATTCTCGTGTGTGGGCTGTCAGTGACCTGCATTTGTTTATTGTATCGCTCACTCGGCGATGGGCGTGTGTCGCGGCGGTCTCTGTGATCCAGGTCTGTGTGGCGTTTTGGTTGGGTGTCTAACAACGATGTCGTTTGACGCTCCTTGTGGTTCTGGATCTGGGCCACGTGGAATTGGGATCGGTCGTCGTTGGTTGGTTATTAAATATGGTGGCGGATGCGAGGGCTGCATGGCATGTTAGGTACATGTACATATGTAGGCACCTCAGGTATGTCTCACAGGCGATGGGGCTTAACATCACGCCACTTCTGGGTATGATGTTGCATGCATGCAGGCTCGATTGCGCACACGAGGAGTGCTGGGGTTGGTTGCGGTTGGTATCGGACTGTGTATGGAGATAAGGCGAGAGGAGAGATGTGGTTCAGCCGATAGGCTGTCCCGTTTGGCCGCCTCAGCTCTTACATTTCACTTGATCGGGATCCTAAGCGCTTGGGTCCGGGACGAATGTCACGACGTACAGTGGTCTTATTCCGCCGAACAAAAATGAGATGGTTTCTTAACCAACTTGAAAATCGGAACTGAAAATGGCTCGAAAATTGGTTGGAAATATAGAATGGCGAAATAAACAATCCCTCTCGTGATCATCGTGGTGTGGCAGGAACTCCAGCCCTCGGTGGTGCGTACCTTCCCCCGCATTGTTTTACTGCTTGTTTGGCGGTCTTCTTCAACACACAACTAGCCTGCCCGGCTAGCTCAATCGGTAGAGCGTGAGACTCTTAATTATCTCACGTAATCTCAGATCTCAAGGTTGTGGGTTCGACCCCCACGTCGGGCTCAATTCCCGGCAGTGATTGCCTCTCTTTTTTGCGGTTTTTTTGTTTTGGGTTAACAAAAAAAATGTTGTGGTGTTGTGGGTGTGTGGAGAAAGGCTTTTCTCTTAGGGTTAGGGTATTACAGGGTATAGAGGTGAGAAGGTTTGGTTTGTTTGTTTGTTGACGGGTTGTGGGATGGCCACGTGCAGAGGTGCGAGGGAAACACTCTACAGTACTACGCAAGAATCAGTTCTATCTCGGCAAGGGATCTCGATGAGGTCATGGGCTTCGGATATCGGGATCGAATGGTTTGTTGGCTTTGAGGGAGTACCGCACGTGGTGTTGCGTAGGATATACAGTGTGTATATCCGTCTGTCTTTGAAAAC